ACACGTACCCTGCAAGATTTTCCAGCCACTGGGTCAGGGACTTGAACCATGGAGTCTAGCACTTTAACTACCACACCATCTGCTGGCCCCCAAAAGGAGAGAATTAAGAGGGTCACTGGGGTAAGGGGTGGAGGGCAGCAGGTAGTGTGGTGGTTAAGGCACTGAACTCCCACATGGTCAATTGCAGTTCGAGTTCTGGTAGCTTGCTTTCTTACTTTCTCTCTATATATCTCCGGTGAGCACACGAGACCTTGAACAAATTGAAAAATAATAATGATAATGATAAATATTTTTTTAAAGAAGGCCACTGGGCAGGAGAGGAGTCTGAAGAGCACAAATGGGCATGTTAATGGAACAAGAGTAATATATTTAAACATGATATGTTTATCTATGCTATTCACAAGGTATATTTATGAACACATACATTTATTTATTGTCTTTAAGTCTGTGTTCAAAACATTGCAGTAAGGACCCAAAATCCAAAAAGAAGTTAAGAACTTCAAGATGGAGTCAATATTCAGTTACTTGTGTGCTATTCTAATTTTCTGGCTAGGAGAAAGGAAATAGCTAATCCAAATTTCATCATCCTGTAATTGACACTTGACATAAAAAGTACTCAGGCCTGACAAATAGTCAGGATCCTTTTTTATGACTCTGAGCAATGATTAGTCAAATAAAGGATTTGTATCTCCTTAGAACCAGATTCCTTATCTGAAGGAAGGATTTAGTAGCCAAATGCAGAATAGCTGGAAGACATGGAAGGTGTGGCACTTGGATTCATACCATCTTCAAGCATTTACTCTCACACATCTCTGTCCCATCACAAGAAAAGAAAGGGAAAGCAAGGATTAAAACAAAGATAACAGATTTCCTAACCCAGAACTTGAATTTCTCTTTATTCGTATTAGCATCTTATTCTAAGGCTATAGCACTATCTTCTTATTGCTAAATCACACACACACACACACACAAGCTAATTTTGCTGATAGTATGCCAAATCAAGAAGCTTTACATTGTCTGCCAGTACTTACACAGACACAGGACAATTACTCCTCCTCTGGAGGAGTACTTGAAATAAAAGTGAGCCCTTAGCTATCCAGCCACCAAAAAATGCTTCTCTAATCCATTTAGCTTCCCACTTTCCTAGACTGCAGCCATGTTTCTTTAGTCCTGAGACAAAAGATATTTCACATTTTAACATCTCTGGAACTAGGATGTATTTTTCAATTGATGGTGAATATGAATTCTAATTGGTAACTTTTTTCTGTCTTAGTAGTAGATAAAAGAATGTTGTCTTATTTTCATATTCATTCTATTTATTTTATGTATTTAATAAAAGAGTATTTCACAACTTTTCCTATCTTTAAAATCTCCAGCCTCTCATTCTTCCTACTATACTACTACATTGAATTCAATGAAAGCCCCCTAACCAAATCTCCCCACCTACCAACATGGGTTCCCACATACTTTTCTTTCCTGTGTCTGATCACAAATCAAGGTTTCAAAGAGTAACCCTAGGACTCCGGGAGGTTTTCAAGACCCTTCCAGGGGTCTGTGAGGTCAAAACTATTCTCATAATAATAGTAAGTCATCATTTGTCTTTTCACTTTTATTTTCTCACAAGTGTAAAATGGAGTATTCCACAAGTAACACAATAAATAATATGTTGGGCTGGTGGCATGGTGGTTAAGGCAGCTGGATTCCACGAGGCTGACTGCATGGTTTGAGTTCTGGGCCCAGTGACTTGAAAAACACAGGGAGCATGAACGTAAGTGCCTGAAATTCCAAAGGGAGGGAGAAATGGAGGAGAAGGGACTGTGGCATGGCTATGGCTATGTCCCATGGGGGATGCTTTTTCACTTTCCCCTCTCGTCCCTCTTCAGTGAGTGCATATACCCTCTGGCAAACAAACAAACAAATTCTCAGCAGGCTGAATACAAAGCAGATGAAAATCCAGCTGTTTTCTATTAAAGTCAGACATTAAAGAGATTTTCAAAAATTTAAAACAATGCCATTTTCTCACTAAACTTTTTTGTTTGGTAAAATTTAGTTATTTTTTTCAGTTAAGTTGTAGTATTTGTGTTAATATAGATTTTAAAAAATAAATTCTTTGGATATGCTAAATATGAATATGCTAAAAATACTAAATATGAATAGATTAAAAACACATAAAAACTTTTGAAGTCCTCGATAACTTTTAAGAGTGTAAAGGTATCCTGAGACCAAAAAATTTGAGTACTACTCTAATCAAATGGTTGCTATTACTATCTAATAGTTAATCCCTACACTCACCTGCTAAATTTCATTCTGTCTTCACATACTAGCAATTTTTCTCCTTTCCCACACATTTATCAATATTTTTCTCTACAGAGTCATTTCAACAAACAAAAACATGCTTTTTTTTTTTTTTGAGAGGTTTTTGCTACAGGGCGCTTGCACTCGCCAGAGAGACAGAGAAAGACAGAGAGACAGAAAGCGAGAAATTACCCCCCCGGGGGGGAAGGCCACGCCACAATCACTTATCATCCATTCTCCTCTTGGGATCTTGGGCATGCATGCACATGCACCCGGCATAAGTTTAAGTCAAGGGGTCCGGGACTCAAACGGCAGTCGACTACATGGGAGTTCAGCGACATAGCCATTACGCTAATTGCTGGTCCCTGCTATTTTTTCTTTCTTAAAACAAAATCAAGCAAAGCATAAGTTTCTCCTGACTCCACTCCCTGCCAGCTATTGCCCTATTTTTCTGTTTCCCTATACCAAACAAACCTCCTTAAAGTACACAGCTGCCTGTACATCCAGTCTAGAATTCCTCTCTTCCCATTCTCTCCTAAAGCCACTTCTATCCGATTTTCCTACTCCTCCCATCCCACTGAAATTCCTCCTTAAAGCTCCCAATTCCCTGAATATTGTTAAATCCCCATTCAACACAGAGAATCATTCCTTCATATTCAGGCAGTTTCCAATTTGCACAGTGCTAAGATGGATGAATTATAGTTACCATCATTAAAAAAAAAAAAAGTTCTCCAACAACATGGCTCAAATTCCAGTTAACATTTTTAATTAACTGTGAGTAACTCATAAAGTATGAACTTCTCTGTCAGTTCTTCAGTCCACTAATCGCTACATAAATAGGTGTGCATCATGATCAATGACAATCACCTCACTTCTTTCAAATTCTCTTGATGGCTGCTTACTGTGTATCTATTTTTCACACACAGACAGCAAACTGTGTAGTTATGTTGCCTCCTTGTCTCTCAGTGATAACCCACATGATATTTTATAAAAATGAATCATTAAAAGAAGGAATTGGTCAACAAAGAAAGTGCAGCAAAAAAACAAAAAGTGATAACGCTAGAAGTGAAATTCAAGTGAAACATAAACAGAGTTACCGAAGAAATAGGCAGCTATGGGGATGTTGGCATTGACACCTTTCAAGAGACTCTACAGATGCAGCCAGCTGAACTTGGTGAATGCAAACTTATTGGCAAAAATGAGGAAAGTGGTTGTAATGAAACTATCCCAGATGCCCACAAAAAACTTCCTATTAAAAGAACTCCCAAAGATACTTCACTCTCACTAAAGGAACTCTAGGAGATACTTCCTAATACTGGATACAAAAATAATAAAATGAGGGAAGTTGATCTGAGCGTAACAGCAATATGATAAGGCATGAAGGCATAGAAAAGATGTTCACTCTGCATAATATTTATGCAATGAGGAGAAGGCAAGCACTGTTCAAGTTACTTACAATAAATTTTTCACAAAAATACTTTCACAATGCTCCCAAAGTTTTAAATTATCGTATACTAAGTAAAAATTAGTTTTACTATTTTATTTCCCTATATGTTCATAGGCATTAGAGTTTTTAATGTGGCAAAAATTTCTATAGGCCACAGAACAGCAGTAAATTTTCCCATTGATTATTAAGATTGTTTTGTAGTCATTTCACAGTCCTACACTACTGTGTAAAAGTATTGCCTGCACTTTCTTCATTTGCCTTCCAGCACACTGTACTCACTTGGTCTTCTTCCTGCCTTATTGGTTGTCCTTTTCAGTCTCATCACCTCCAACTAAGTGCTAGAGGACTTCAGAGCTTAGTCCTTGCAGCTAGTCTTTTCTTTTTCTATACCACCTTCCTTAGAGATTTTTCCTACTTTCATAGCCTAAAATATCACCTACAATATATGCCAACAACTTCCACATTTATACTGAAGCTCAGCCTTCTCACCTGAACTTTAGATTTATGTATCCAACAGCCTGTTTGATATCTCTAATTGGCTAAAAGAAATCTTAAACTTGGTATATCCAAAACCAAAATCCCACCATTACCTTGCTTCCTCCCAAAAAACAAACAAATAAACAAACAAACAAAAAACACTACTTACAGTCTACATCTTCCTCATTGCATTTAAAAAAATTTTTTTAGAGGTTTTTGTTATAGGGTGCGTGCACTCACCAGAAAGACAGAGAGAGACAAAGAGACAGAAAGCAAGAAATCACTCCCCAAGGAGGATGGCCATGCTGTAATCCCTACTCCTACATTCTCCTTCAGGATCTTGGGCACACATGCACACATGCCTGGAGCAAGTTAAAGTCACCAGGTCCGGGACTCAAACTGCAGTCGACTACATGGGAGTGCAGCAACATAGCCATTACACCAACTGCTGGTCCCTTCCCCATTTCATTTTATGGTAACTCCTTACACTTCTAGTTGCTCAGACTAAAAGTCTTGGAGTCATCCTTAACTATTCTCTTTTCTTTAACATTCTTTAATATATGTGAAGTCTTGTATGCTCTATCTTCAAAATATATCCAGATTGGACCACTTCTCCTCAACAGTTCTAATGAGAAAAACTCTAGTCCATGTATCATCATCTAGCAATTGGTGAGGGAAACCTGAACATCTAAAATATAACTGCCCATTCATTTCTTCAAACGCCACTTCCTGAATATCTCCCATGTGCTAAAGCCAGAGGGCCCTAGGCAGCCAAACATACTTTCCCAGCTCTGGAGCAGAAGGCTCTTGTTTTCGGACACGGCTCTGAATTGATGACAGGGCTTCTGGGGAATACTGGGCAGCATTGCTCTCCATGTATTTCAAAACATACTCGTCTGTATCAAGGATGATAAACCGGTGGCCAAACACTGGGAAGAGAGGAACTTGGTTATTTCTCACATGCAATCAGGAGTATTAATAATAACCCCCAATGACAAATTCACGGATACACATTGTGACCTAGACTAATGAACGGACGATAGCACTTTATGCAGTAGTTTGTTCTGTGTTTCGAGAGTGGGCAACATCTATAGTCAACAGATGCAACCAACTTAGTTTAATCATTAAGGAAGGCAACTAAGACAGGTATACCATATATACCAGAGCATTAGCTTTATCTTAGCTGAGAAATAGCTTAATTGCGCTGACAAGGGTTAAGTTAATTTAAGAATGAATTTATTAATAAAAACCTATTCTCCACCTTGTAGGAAATTATGAAAAGTGCTGAGACCTACCTTCAATCACAGCACCAATGAAGAAGTCAGCAGGGCCATAGTAGATGGGGTTGTCTGCGGTAGAACAAGGTTTAACAACCTTAGTCCTTCCAAGGTACTTTCCCCCAATGATACCAGAATTGCGAACAGGAGGTTCAAAGATACTGATCATATCAGTAGCTAGGAAGTAAGAGAAAACAAATCGGCGGTCTTTGTCTTGTTTGATGGGGGATTCCTAGAAAGTTGAAGAAGAGAGTATGTTATTAAGGTTCATGACCTATCTATATGCCCTAAACTTAAATGACTATGGTAGCCAGGTATATGATATAAATGAAACTATTTTGGTTCATATATCAATAAACTGTGTATGAGGGGGAACTCTGGTAGTCTGGGAAGGACATTCCTCATCTAAGGGAGGCCTCCTAAGAGAAGTCATCCCAACTCAACTCAGTTGATTGTTGCCTTGTGAGAATGTAAATCCCATGTGGCTAACCAATGAACATGGTATGTCTTTAGGTCTTCTTTCATTTTCTCTCAATAATATTTCAGATATTACATTTCTTTTATTTGCTTTATGGCTAGAAATTTGATATTTTTTGATGTTAGGTAAGTGATACATTTTTTACCTTATTTTTTGTTGCCATTTGTATACTGACTTTACTAATACAAAATGTAGATTTTTAAGTTTTCTACCTATACATTCATTTTGATAACAACAATTTTGTTTCTTCCTCTTTTATACTTATATTTCCCCCCTTCTTATTTAACTGCTGTAGCTAGACTCTCAGGAACAATACAGAAGGGGTGATGGCAGTCTCACTCACATTTTTTCTAATCTCAGAAAGTACACTTTCAACATTTAATAACTATGCTGTTTGCAGTAGATTTCTGGTAGATACCCTTTTAAGATGAAGAACATTCCCTTTGTAAAAAAAGATATTTTTTTAATTTAACTTTATTTATTTTAATTTGATGAGAGAGAGAGAGGAAAAGAGAGGGAAAGCAAGGAAGCAAGCCATCAGGTCCAAGACTAAAACCACAGTTGGCCATGTGTGAGTTCAGTATCCTTAATCACCATGTCACTTGCCAACCCTAGAATATTCCCCTTTATTGTTTTATTTTTCAATTATTATATTTCCAAATGCTTTTCAGAACCTTTTTATCTCCAATTCTGCTAATATAATTATTTTCCAAAACTGAAATACTTTTTGTATTTGTTTCTCATAATCTGAAATTATTAATCTTATTCCTTATCTTCTTAAAAGCAGTAAACATAGTTTTTTTTGTTTGTTTGTTTTTGTTTAAGTTTGAGTTTGATAACACCAGTGTTTGAAGCCCTCTATGGATCTATTTCTATTGTCTGTTGTTCCTGGTCATTTTCCTTCATGCTATTATGCCTTGTTTCTGAACACTGTATTATTAATTTTGTTTTTATAAGTGAGTGTCACACATTGTATTTTTAAACTGTTTGTAGAAATAATCTAAAGCCTAAGGTAGTAATATATTCAGAGAATTTATATGTGCTTCTGCCAGTCACCTGGAGGCATCGGAATCTAGGATCATCTTAATTTGATTTGCGAATCTGAGATAATTCAGAGGCTGAGATAATTCAAGGTCAGACAATAGTCCTTTCAAGGACTAACCACTTAAAGACTAAAGCACAGAGGGTTTACCAGGTGCTTCTGATTTGCCCTCATAGCTGCCTTTTCTGGAAACAATAAACATGTTGACAGGAAAAATGACCTCTTAAGTCAGGTTCATCTCTCTGGTTTTCACTGTCCTCCTGGTTTTTTGCTCAGTGAGTCTTCAAATATCACTGACTATTCAGTACCTTCAAGCAGTCACACACACATTTTCTTTCTTTCTCTCTCTCTCACACCACACACACACACACACACACACACACACACACACACGTACACATCACCAAGAGGGGTGATCCAAATTATCTAGTCTATCATTGCTATAAACAGAAGTCCTCTGTGCACTCTTCAACTTTGTGTGATACATCACATTTTTCCAGGTTATTTGTGGGTATAGGAGGCGGTGATCAGAGCCAGCAAGGTGACGTAGTGATTTTAAGGCAGTTAGATCCCACAGCTAGATCTGTGCGGTTTGAGTTCTGACCCAGTGACTTGAAAACACACTAGACATGTGTGCATGCATACCCAGAATCCCAAGAGGCAAATGGAAGAGAAGGGACTGCAGTGTGTCACCCCACCCCCAGGGGGATACTGTCTCATTTCTCTTCCCCCAACCTGTCTCTCTCCAGTGAGTACACATGCCCTACAGAAAATTTTTTAAAAAATTTTAAAAAGGCTGCAGTCAATATAACTGTCCTTTTTCATCATTTAGAAGTATCTAACATTATTCATAACTATTTTTGTAATCCAGTGTGTTCATAACTATTTTTGTAATCCAGTGTATAATTATTCCATTGTTTTCAACTATGAAAGATAAACTTAAAATTCCGTAGTTTCCAATTCATATGAATCATCCCCCCACTTTTTGCTATAAGGCATGTGCTCTTGCTGGAGAGAGAGAGAAATTACCCTTTAGGAGGGATGGCCACACCATAACTCCTTCTTCTCCATTCACCTCTTGGGATTTGGGGCACATACACTCACTCATTCAGTGTGTTTTTCAAGCCACTGGTCTAGGTTTGGTCAACATTTTTCTATTCAGTTGTGTTTTACTGAATTTTTATATTTTCAAATATATATATATACATATATAGTTTATATATTTATATAGCTTATATATAAATATATACATAGAGTGGGTGTATATCTATCTATCTATATCTATACATATAGAGAGTATGAAGAGTCATCTGATCCACTCCTCTCTAATCCCAATTCCTTTTATCAGAAGTAACATTGCAACTTCTGTTGTCTGTATTTCTAAGCAAAATATTTAAATTTCTATTTTTACAATCCCATCAACTTTTTTTTTTTTTTACCATTTTCTTAGTATTTTATTTGCATTTTGGGAGAAGATAAACAGTTTCACAAGAAACAATGAATTTTCTCAAACAATAGAAAAAGTTTTAAAGAAAAAGAAACCCTGTTTTAAAAGAAGAAAACAAGTCTCTTCAGCAAGCACTGGGCCACTGCAGAGGGACCAGTGAAGTGGAAGTTACACAGAGGAAATAAGCTCGGATTCATCCACAGACGTCTTGTCTAGTTCTGGAAGGCTCCCAGTGGGCCACCTCTTGGGGTTGGTAAGCAGCTCAGGCCAGGGCTGCTGGGATCCATGTCTGAGAAGCTTACTCTCCAGGGGGCTGCATCTGTTTGCAGAACTCATGGCACTGCTGCTGCTCCAGCCCCATCGTGATTCTGTTGAGGGCGTAGATCTCTGCTCTTTGTCTTTGCTTCAGCTCCTGCTGGGCTGGTTTCTCCTTAGCTTTCTCAACTCTGCTCACAGGTTCTTTAACTTTGGGTTTCTTTTTATGGGGCGGGTGGATCCATGGTTGGCTTCTGAGCACTTATTAGTCACTTCTCATCTGGCCTCGGGGCTCCAGGAACAGCCTTCGCTGCATTGTAGACAGGGTCCGGAGCAGGAGAAACCTTTTCTCCTGCCGACTGCTGCCTTCCAGGCCCGCTGCCCCTCGCACTCACAATCCCCTCCACTTTTAACATTATCCTTTAAATCTCCACCAGTTTGCCTCAGGTAATTCAGCTATAGGTGGAATATTCACAATTTGAATATATGTCTATTCCCAAATTCTATGCTCTTCACTATTAGTCACATAATCTCATAATTCTACTTACTACATTTAATGACTATAACATGTATCAAACTAGATATCATAGGTAATGATCAAATTTAGTAAGATGGTCTCTACCTTCAAGGAAATCACAGTACACTGGAAAAGTACATAGACACAAAAATGATTTACAACTCAGAATTTCATAACTGCTTAATAAAATAGGCAAAAGAGTCTATCAAAATCTGAGGAGTAGATGAAAGAGATCAATGATCTAAAAAGACTCTTTGGAGAAAAAGGATGTGAGCTAGGTCCTGGTTCAGGAGGGTGATATAATACTATATTCAATACTATCAGAGACGTTTGGAGGCTGAGCACTAGATCAAATGGTTGAGCAAACACACAGCTCTGACACCTAGTACCCCTCAGTTTACAGACAGAATAGACTGAGACCTAACAGAATCTTCGTATGTAAAAATCAGCCTTACCAGTTTAGCCAAATAACGAAGAACCTTCCTATCATTCACCAGCATTTTAATAATATCTTTTTTTGGAGCTTTTGGAATGAGAGCAAAGCAATTCTGGGCAGAATCTTCAACTTGTCCATAACCGTTATACGGAGGCAATTCCTGGAGACAGACAAGATGCAAGAAGTAAAGAAGATACTACTTGTGTGAAAATTATATTAAAGGTAGCTATAAATGTATAATTTTTAAATTCTTTTTTAGAAAGAGAGATTTTTGTTCTAGGGCCTGTGTGCTTCCCAGAGAGACAGAAAGAGACAGAAAGATAGAAAGCAAGAAAACCCCTAGGAGGGATGGCCACACTGCAATCCCTTCTCCTCCATTCTCCTCTTGGGATTTTGGGCATGCACACACATGCACCCAGCATGAGTTTATGCCACTGGATTTGGGACTCAAACCATGGTCGACTATGTGGGAGTCCAGCAATGTAACCATTATGCCATCTGCTGGTCCTGCTATATATTTCTTAAAAATTCTTTGAAAAAAAAAAAAAAAACTTCAGAAACAATTTTTATATATGCAAAAGTAGTCAGAAAACATGTCACTTTTCCCTTCCTCTTTATTTATGGATTCTACATCATGTTACTGGAGTCTACATCATGTTACTGGAGTCTACATCATGTTACTGGTCATGGAAGTGATGATGATGCTGCAAAGCAACCACTGTTGATAGCCACTGACCTCTTACTACCAAAGCAGGGCCTAGTCTCAGTTGCAGTCCCAACACAGATAATGTGTTCATCCTAGGATGTTGAGTTCATGGGTCTGTGTGCCACCTCTTTGTTCTAGGGTATAGACTGACAGATCTGGAAACTATTTCCCCAGTTCACCCAGAAGGTACAAGTATGTGCACATGTACACCAGGAATTAGTGAAGGAGTAATCAAGACTTGATTCAGGCTACTTTTTCTACTTACCCCTATATTTCCAATATTTTTATTTGACTTTTGCCCCACATAGGAAGATGAGGGCTATACTCTTTTGAGAACTCAGATCCACCTTTCCTAATGAGGAAGCTCACTTAGAAAACCAACTTGCAGATGCAAAGCTTACTTAATAAGTTAGCATGAAGGTATAGATTGATCTTAACATGCTTCCTTCAGGCTCCATGAAGAGCCTGGTAAAAATCTAAGATGCATTTACCCAAAAACTTTAGGTCAAAGACTAAGTTTTCCCCTTCCTCTTCCATGCTAGGAAAACTTTGGTAGGGGTTCTTTGCTCCTGACTCCATTTTGCTATGCTTTCTCAAGAAACTCAGCTTGTACCACATTTTTCACTTGTGGATAACTTCCCCAAATCTTTTTATGTATTGTATTCAGCACTTTAACAAATTAGCCCACTTGGTCCCTGGCAAATAGACTATTCTTTCAACAACAAATGACATACTGCATTTGTTACAGGAGTACTACTTGGAAGTCTGACCTCTTGCCTACTTGCTGGGGCCATAGTTAATGTGAACATAATGGCTAGAATATGACTGGTGGAGTTAGCAGACAGACGATGACCTGATTTGCTTTGGTTGCAAAACCACTACTCAATGAATATTTACGTTTACCATGGACAGAGGGACATTGGGCTGAGATGCTACATGCTAAGCACTGGAGTTTGTCTGGAGGCTAGGCAGAAATCGAGTGGTAGACCATACTTACACCAAACATACATACATATAATCAGAGCATCTTTATTTGGGAGAGGTTTTTGCTATAGGGCACATGCACTCACCAGAAAGACAGAGACAGAGAGATAGAAAGCGAGAAATAACCCCCCAGGGGCGATTGCCACGCCATAATCCCTTCTCTTCCATTCTCCTCTTGGGATCTTGGGCTAGCACGCACACACACCTGGCGTGAGTTTAAGCCACCGGGTCCGGGACTTGAACCACAGTCAGCTACATGGGATTTCAGCGACATAGCCATTACACTAACTGCTGGTCCCTAATCAGAGCATCTTAATTGGAGGAATGGGGCTGGGGGTTGATGAATTTTGGAAAAGGGAGATAGATATAAGCCTCTGAGCCTTCTTGTCAAGTTTCAATTGTGTTTGAACAGGCTGATAATGTCATCTCTCTGCTTGGAATACAGACTTTTTTTTTTGGAGAGGTTTTTGCTATAGGGCGCGTGCATGCGCCAGACAGACAGAGAGAGACAGAGAGACAGAAAGCAAGAAATCACCCCCCAGGGGGGATGGCCACGCCTCAATCCCTTCTCCTCCATTCTCCTCTTGGGATCTTGAGCACGCACGCACACGCGCCCGGCGTGAGTTTTAAGCCACCGGGTCCAAGACTCGAACCGCGGTCGACTATGTGGGAGTCCAATGACATAGCCATTACACTAACTGCTGGCCCCTGGAATACAGACTTTCTGTAAGTATTGGTCCACATGCTTGTGGTCCAGACACCTTGCTTCTTCTACTGCAAGGTACAGTCTAGGTCCTTGGCTCTAAATTAGATGACCCACTCATCTGACTTGGATATCATACTCCTAGACAGTTATGCTTGCATGACTAACTTTAACTAGTTTCGACCTGGGCTTTCTTGACCAAGCTAGTACATGTGGAACCTGGGAGCCCCATAATCCTTCAGATACTTCTCTTAGGGGCCACTTCCATAGCACATTAGCTCTCCTAGTTCTGGTTTCTTCCTGTTCCCTACCAGCATACCTGCAGATGAAGCCAGCCTAAGAGAAAAGACAACTGACTCCAAGTTTATTTATTACTGACTTTTAAGTGCCATGATTCTCACCTGAAGATATCCAATTCATATCTACTCTGTCCCTGGCCATGGTTTGGCTCTAGGTTTATCTCTTCAGATCCTGCTCCAGTTTCCATTTACACTGGGTTCTACCTAGAATATTTAGGGTAAAAATGGCTGAGGTGTAATGACTAAAAGTATATGCTGCTTGGTTCATTTCAGACTAAGACCTTCATTGACATGCAAAGAAAACGTATTTATAATAGAATTATTTATTGCAGAGAGTTTATTAGAAATAAATGAACCGAACACTATGATTAATGTGTCATATGGATGGGTGTTTTACTACATGGAATTAGTTTTACTATATAGAGAGGCTAGGGATAGAGCAAGAAGAACGAACTAATCTAATCTCTCTGTTCTTTTTTTTTTTTTTTTTTGTAATTGCCAGAGGCTGCATGTCCTTTCCAGAGAAAGACAGAGAGACTGGAAGAAGAAAGCACCCTCAATGGAACACAGTCAGAATGTATTCCCTTCTCCATTTCTCCATCCTGTCAGGACTTTGAGCACATATCCACATACACTCAGCATATTACCAAAAAAGGCTTTTTTCTTAATTTTTTTTTTCTCAGCACATTCAGTACTACTACTCCATTACCTGTTTTACAGGAGGTGGTTCTGGCTTGCTCACATCTATACGTGGTAAATCAGAGATTCCAAACTTCTCTTTGTAAAACTGTCGAGTAAATGGATCACAATCATAAATGAAGAAAGTTCTCCCAAGAATAGTGAGTGGTTTCCCAACAATGAAGTCTTTGGCAGTATACCATTCCAGCACTTCTTGATCAGAGATTTCTAGCACACACTGAGGGAAGTTCTCTAACATAAAATGGAGTTTGAGAGAAAAGAAGGAGAAATGCATATGAGAAGAAAGACTGTCACA